TATGAACAAATTGATGGTTTCTGTCCCTCTCACTAGTCTGCTCACTAAGCCCCAATATCTTAAATATGAATTGTTGTCATCTGTATTCTTCTTAGCGTTTTTTTTATGATGGACTGAACACAGGTTCGTTTGATACCATTGTTTATCATTCAGTGCAAAAATGGCTGGCCACAATAGTTCTGTATTGTTTCGATACAATCCAAATACTAGTTTGCCAGAAATCATTGAAGTTTTAATAATACATTTTGAACGGGCTATATACATGGATTTTTACTTATACATTTAATGCCTGCTGTTGGGGGCACTATGTCTCCATAGTGTTGCTGAGAAGAGAATAGTGCCCGAGCGGTGTGCGAGGGCCACTATTCCTTCCAAACAACACTATGAGAGCATGATGCCCCCAACAGCAGGCATTAATGTTTTTAGTGCATCACATGACTATGCAATCTACTTTTCATGCGTATATACCTTCTTTATACTCCCTAATTGCGCGTGCATTCGATGTACAAAAACGCTCGACACAAACACAATCCGCCATATATTCCAAAATCGTTGCGTGGCGCCCAGACGCAGGAGATTGTGACGTAAACACAATGCGTTATAATAACAATGCGTCGCGGACAAGCGATAGTGCCGCTAAGGCGGGCACTAGCTCTTCATAATGCCTGCTGCGTTATCCAATGAGATTGCAGCGATTCAATCACGTCATGCACTAATACATTATTGTATAGAAAATACGAGCCCTACGAGTATAGTAGAGCATGCTACTACAAGTATCGGGAGATATATGAGGTCAAAAGGGCCTTATGTAAAACAGCCACATAGGTCCGTTAGTCTTGCAGCTTGATAGGGTATAAAGTACATAGCGTGTAAGACAAAATATGTAGCTGAATTCGCTACGCACCAGCTTCTAACGAAACCACTTAGAGATACTAATTATATATACTCATTAAAAATGTATGTCTGTTTCTCGCAAACATCTATCTACTCACACAAAGTCACATACATTATGCAAGGAGTATGGGTAGTTCTTATTCACCTATTTCATCCACATCATTACTGTCATATTTTCCATACTCGTTTAAAAATTCACCTGCTCGCGCACCACTGGATGGCACTTCTGACACAAACATCGACAGCAGTACGGGTGATCTTACCTGAGCCAGGCTACAGCCGTGACCTGACGATACGCTATCGATGCACGGGGAGGTCTCGCCCGAGCCCTGCCTCAGCCGTATCAGCTTCCCCATCCTGCTGTGTGGAGCGACTCTTCGCGTAACTAATTCGACAACCTGCATCAAATTTCAAATTTCAGTTTCAAAAAATTTATTTATCACCATAATTTGCAAAAATACAATGATGCAGAAACAATTTTGAAGGGTAAGGGTAGCGAAAAACCATAGGAGTCATCAAGTCAGCTACCTCACTCATATATGTACAGTAGACATAATATGGAGAGCCAGATATTTGCTGTATTGCAAATTAGGAAAGAAAAAAATAATAAATACTGATGTTTCGAATCTCATAGAAATAAAAATAAACAGGTTTGATACATATATATACTATAATATATAATACATATATATATAGTTAATATATTACAGTATGATTATGAATCATGTAGCTACGCAAGTAGAACATGAATGAATCTGTTCAGTACAAGATATATTTGTTACAAGGTTTACAATTGGATACAAGGGTGTGTGTTGGTTTGGGTATATTATACTAAATAATAATATATGTTTATGGACAAGAATAGTTTGACAGTAGGATGTGTTTATATTTATATTTTAGTTGTTTCAGAGAGCAGCTGGTAAATTCCGGAGTAAGTTCGTTCCATAACTTCGCTCCTTGGAATTTGATGTGTTCGAGCCATAAGCTGTCATAACTCTGTCTATAAAATAGTTTGGCTGCCGCCGCTTCTTGTGTTATGGTCATGGGATGTCCGATAGTTTAGTAAAGTAGGTGATAATATACGGTAGCATGCCGTTGTTATATTGTACATGAATAATATATAAGTTCGTACTTGAAGCCTCGAACAAATCACGGATACATGACTGAGTGAATGGAACAAACAATAAACCAAAACAATTCTTAACCAATAAAAATTGCATAGTATTAAACAATAGAGGAAAAAATGCTAAACTCCATTCATAATTCAGTTTTATAATCCATAATTTGGAATAATGATTAACCATGAATCGGCACAGCAATGCTGTACCCATCTATGCTTCAAGTTCAAGCAATGAACCAGTAATGTTTCAGCGTGTTTTACTTTTAACTTCTCGAAAGATATTAAATTCACTAATAAAAAAGCAACACAGGCTGCAAAAAGTTTGTTAGGCCTTGAACCTGTCGTAGGCACTGAGCTTCAAATTCTATGAATAGATAATCACAGAGTGTTTACATATTATGTGGAGTTCACAGCAGGAATTGAGGTACAAGTTTCCTTTATAGAATCACTAGCATAACCCATCCTTATTAACGGTATCACTGCTTCTCTTATCAACATTTATGGACTATATATACCTTATAGAAAAAGACAAAATATCAGTGGAATAAGTAAACGTGTTTATATGATCTAAAGTAACTGTATGCGGTGTCTGCACTGTAGGGGCCTATTGCAATAATACCAATTACACTGACAAAAACACTTCCTGTAGTATGAATATATTCTGCAGTATGAATGTATAATAATATTATGTTAAATTAGCAGCAATTAGTAACAGGTAGTTGTGGATATATCTATCTATAGCGTCAGTTACGAGTGCCACTCTCGCGGTCATTCGCTACATGCTTACGTCATTACGTACATGTACGCGTGGATTGCCAGAATGAGGCTGCACTCTAGAGACACTAGTTAGACTGAAACCTCTAGAAAAGGGAATTACATGAAACCAGAATCACATCCTAGTTGTATTTCTAGACCGTATTAATCGCAAAGTTTGTATATTTCTAATATATGTTGCAATAACACGGCACAAGGTCATGACACTTGTGTCATTGGTACATTTTCACTCTATGTGCGCGATGGGATTAAGAACGTAAATTATTCAAACAACATGTACATGTGTTTCGTAAATATTACGGGTTTACTAGACCGGCACTACTATTAAAAATTATCTGTATTACACGTGACATATTCAAAAAAGAAACGTACGACAACCGGTGCAGCTCTTCTTAGTTGTAGAAATCCTATATATTGATATTATGTTTACATACCTGCCACTCTTTGTTTGGAAAATTAAAGTCCAAGCCTCCGCATTCTGGACATAAGTATGCTAAAATACGTAATAATTTGCCCTTGAACTTATTATATATTCATATGTTCTCGGAGCGTTAGAAACACTTTTAAACAGGTGAGCCTAGTAGTAGTGCTTGCACGGAATGGATGACGAGCTGTAAGCGGAAATCTAACTATCCGGCCCCTCCATCACGCTACAGCCTGCGTTCAATGTTCAAGCTACCCGGCCAAGCCTGAGTGACCGCGCCAGCAAACAACACGCTTACTAGCGCTGCTACATCTGTTGAATTCTGATTGCTGTGGCAACACAGTATGACAAATAGTCTATGTATTTACATACATGTATTACCATGTATTATTATGTCTATGTCGTCTATGTAGTACCAGTATAGTATGGTGCAATTCTAGGCAGGCCTTAGTGCCTCAAATTGCACTAAAACACATGTACACATAAATACATGTACATCTTGTACACAAGATACATGTTTACACAGCACAACCGGACGCTATTTCTGGCAAGTAGATTTACGCACTAATTTGTACTCGTGGACTCTTCCCTCTCCTCTCTTTCCACCCATCTCTAAATAAATGAATGAATATATATACGGAGTAGATAATAGGGTAGATATAGATAGTATTAGTATATATATATATATATATATATATTATATATATAATATATATATATATGGTATATATAATCAGAAGAGGATAAAGAACTTTATTTTTCCCTATTATACTTCTCTGATATATATAATAATATACTGCCTGCATTATGTATACATGATTTGTAGCAAATGTGGTCGTGAGTGTGTGCGTGTGTGCTATCGCCTATGTGCGCGCGTGCGTGCGTGCCTGTGTAACAAACATTTATGCACAATATTTTATAGATGTGTTCATGATATATTATACAGTTCAAATAAATATATTTGAACTGTGAATACATACATGTATGAGAACATCTATGGGTTCAATGTTACACTTTGACACTTATTTATACGGTTTGTCCAAGAACATATATTCTTATATACATACTCCGAGAACACATGCATGAGTACACACTATAGATACAATAATGTAACCCAAACACAGGATAGGGGGTCCCTATCCTGTGTTTGGGTTACATTATTGTATCTAGACTCTAGAGTACACACATGCTCACGTAACAATGAATTTCCCCACCCCCACTTAACCCTCAATTACATAACCAGGGTGTGAAATTAACCCTCTTTGTATGGGAGTTCCACAGACTACTATAAATACAATAATGTAATTTACAGCAGAGCAGGTCTGCATTTCACAATGCTTCATTTACTAAAAATTATCCGGTATTTCTCGAAGTTGCTTAGCAAGATCTTCTTGCGCTAATTTAGCGGAGGACTCCAAAGTGTATTCAAGCTCTATACGCAGCGCGCGCGAACACGGGGACACCTACGCGTTTACGCTCGCACACACGCACGCACGCACGCACGCACACACACACAAACGAACGAACAAGCACATGTATGACATACATGGTTTAGATACACTTTGTAGTGTGTCAACTTGGAACTTTAATGAATGGATGTTTGTAAAATGCTTGCTGCAAGTCCTCCACTATTTAGCAGCAAAGTCTACGAGAAATAGTGGAGAACATGCATGTGGAACTAAACTGTTCTATACATGTGTAGAACTATTGGGGCAGTCAGTACAAATAAGAGCCAAAACTCAAAGTTTACCTCCAACTCTTCCTTCTTTCCAATCAGAAGTTTCGACCACAAGCCTTGGCATGCAGCAGCTTTTTGCAAAACACACACCACATTTCCACTAGACACATCACTACTGGATCCGGTCCTCGAAAAGCAATCTCCCTCCATACATTTCAGGGTGAGGATGTAGTGGAAAGGGACAAATCCAGAGCCAACAGATTTGAATGTGATGTTCGCCTTGTCTCCTTTAATCTCCAGTACAACGGAGCAAGGTTCTACATTCTTGACATCTGCGATGATGACAATCGACGACACGGTCTGTTGACACCGATACGCAGGCAGCGAGCGAAATACCTGACCTGTGATAATCTTTGCTGGTGTTCGCACAGCGTGTTCAAGTTCGCTTTGTCTTTCCTCTGTAGCTTGATCAGATATTGCACTGCTTTCCCTATCAAGTTGGTTAGCCGTTGCTACACGCTCACTTTGATCAGCAAGATTTCTTGACGTTGGTATACGTTCAATTTCGTCATCAGGTACGTTAGGAACGGTCATGGTCTCGCCCCTACCCACAAGTTCTCCTGTTGTAGTTATAGTGTTAACATCTGCGTCGGAATTAGGAAATGGTGTCTTCGTCTGAAAATCGTGGTCAGGGTTGTGATCTCCTAGTCCCTCTGTGCCTGCAGTTACTGGAGATATCAATTCAGAAACTTGTCTCACAGGCAATATGACAACTAATTTATGTTCTGCCACATCAAACTTTGCTGTGCCTTCATCTTCTAGGACAGTATACGGCAGATTCACAGTCAACTTGTATTTTGCTGGTGTGTCGCATTGAAGAGAAAGTGATTTAGGAAAAACATCAAGCTCAAGTGTGCTAGCTGAGTTCAGCAAAGGTAAATAGACAGCCACAACAAGTTCGTTGGGTTGCGTTTTATGGGTGGCATCATTTTGTCCAACAAAATCTTGTAAATCAACTGAGCATCTATGTATAATATTATATTTTGGGGTTGCATATTTAGTATCACTCATAGATGGAGAAGTCATATCTTTATCTGCACAGCTTTTATCTAGGGTTTCTTTAGCAGATCCACCATTTTGTTCTGACAAAGCGTATGGATTAGGAAATCCAATTGGATCATCTTTAACTTCCACTTCTTGTGTTGTCCCAAGTTTTTGGCTTTCTGTGGGGTTCCTGATGACAACGGATGTACGGGCACCTTTATAACTGCAGGTAGGCCTTCTAACGTTTTTGTTGTGAACTATACTTTCACCACAAACTTTCTTAACAGCATCAAATGCAGTGCCTTCAACCAGTTCTTTAAAACGATCACTTCTTTCAGCGAGCTCAAGTGTGTTATGGTTGAAGATAACATCAATAATTGTACATAATTTTCCATCGTCGTCATAATCATCTTTTGCCTGCGGTGACGAAGCATACGGTATACTCCACGACAATCCTTTAGTCGCACCTTTGACTGAGCTCTTACACGCCGATTTTTCAACGTGTTCACTTCTACAAATATTTATATAAATTGCCCGCCCATTTGCCGCGTTGGTTTGAAGCACATAAGAGGGATCGGGAGTGATGAACTTTGTATCAATCCCGCGCTCTTTCTCCATTAATGCAATTTCTTCTTCTCGTTTCCTCCGATTCTCTGGGTCGGCAATTTCTTTTGCATATTCAGAAAACATATCCAGAAACTCTTTATGTTTAAAAGCATCTTTAAAACGCGAAATTTCTTCGCTTGTCATTTCCAAATCTTTTAAATTCTCCATGTTTGTTTGTACCACGTGACCTATCTGTGAGTCAAAAATGCTGGTTCGTTGAAAATGGAACTTCTTGTTCGTATAAAGATTATATAGCATTCCTTCTTAACCGTTTATCAAAAATATATGAATAATATTTTTGTGTATTTTAGTTCCTATCAAATAATAACGTATTATTTACGCCAACTATTGGGGTTATGGGTGTTTCTTCTAAATCAAGGCCCCTTGTTGCCAAACATCACATAAAAACTTCCGGCATGCGTATCCCGCACTTCCGGAACACTTACTGATTATGTGTTTTGCTTGTTTATGTTTCAGAAGTTTGCTTTGTTTCGAGTTACAAGATACAAGCTGAGAACAATATATTACTTTATATACATGTTATATCCTGTTCTCAGGGGTTAAGAACTTAAGGTATGTTCGCCAAGATAAATATACGAGTAAAATAGCAATAGTTTGTATAAATTGTGTACTACTACTACTGCTAGTACTAGTATAGCTCTAGTACTATAGCCCGCTTACATTGACTGCCGCTGGCAGCGATGCGCCGCCAGCGGCAGTCAATGTAAGCGGGCTATAGTACTAGAGCTAGTACTAGTACTACTAGTAGTAGTACTACTACTACTAGTACTACTACTACTAGTAGTACTACTAGTAGTAGTAGTAGTACTAGTCCGCAAATGCAGACGTAAACTCCGCTTTGCTAATCTGAGGGTGCGGGTTTATCATTACTGGGGTCTGCGTCGGCTCGGCCTATACTACTACTTGTAGTAGTAGTAGTACTAGTACTAGTAGTAGTAGTAGTAGTAGGGCAGTGCCAGTGGGGCAGTAGTACTAGTAGTACTACGGTACTAGTACTAGTACTAGTAGTAGTAGTAGTACTGCGTAGTACTAGTACTAGTAGTAGTACTACTACTACTACTACTACTACTACTACTACTACTACTACTAGCACTACTGCTATAGGCTCATGATAGTCATACTCATAACTCATAGGGTCTATGTCCCCCAGGGTACTGCCGGAACGTACCCTGGGTACGGTCTGGTATACCGCCTACCGGAACGTACCCTGGTAACTATCTGATAATGATATGGTTAGGGAGTAGGCGTAGGCGACTCCCTAGACTCGTTAGTGGAGTAGGCGGGTTACGGTCCGGCATATTAGATAGTACCAGGGTACGTTCCGGTATACCAGACCGTACCCAGGGTACGTTCCGGCAGTACCCTGGGGGACATAGACCCTCTCAGCACTAGTACTACTACTAGTGTCAGTACTGAGAGTAGTGACACTCACACACACTGTCACTGCACACTACACTACTGGGTACTGCTGAGTAGTGAAAATCCAAAATCCTCCATATGATTTATGTACTAAAATTTCAAATTTCAATTTCAAAAAATTTATTTATCACCATAATTTGCAAAAATACAATGATGCAGAAAACATTATTTTGAAGGGTAAAGGGGTAGCGAAAGACCATAGGGTCATCAAGTCAGCTATCCCTCTATATGTACAGTAGACATAATATGGAGCGCCAGATATTCGCTGTATTGCAAATGAGAAAAAGTTGAAATAAATTTGCAAATAAAAAGTAAAGGTGCAGTATATATCTACAGCAGGAGTAGATAATAGGGAATTCCCTATTATCTACTCCTGATATACAGTGATAACATACAACAACAGTAATCAGTTGACAGTACTGTAGGATACAATAAATATATTTGTAAAGAAGAAGATATAGGCCTATGAGTTTGATAACTTCATATCGTAAGTGATGTATATGCGGCGATACAGTACAAGCACAATACTGCACTAACTCAGATGAAAGCACATGTACAATAGCAAAGATAACAAGTACATTCAGATTATAGTATGTCAGATTACAGTACTTGGTTGGAGTAGTTGGAGTTGCTAATTCAATATAAGCATATACAAGCGGTAATAATAAGTACATTCCACAAGAAGCTAGTTATTGCCTGAGAATCACCGAATAGTCGCTAAGTTAAGCAGGAGATTTTTTAGTATTTATGAGTCCATGCAAATGAAATAAAAATAAATAATATATCAATAATATAACAGCAATAGATGCTGTCAAAAAAAAGAGAGAACGATAACAACTCTGCTCATCAAGGTGTTACATCACAAGGTAAATCACAGAAATAATAAAATACTGATGCTCGGAATCTCATAGAAATAAAAATAAACAGGTTTGATACATATAAGATATACATAATAACAGGAGTTAATAATGATAAACTTGTCATTATTAACTCCTGATAATAATAATACATATATAGTTAATAGAAACATCTTATAGAAATAAAAATAAACAGGTTTGATACATATAATATATACATAATAACAGGAGTTAATAATGACAAATTTGTCATTATTAACTCCTGATAATAATAATACATATGATATAGTCAAGAGCATATAAAGAAGATGAGATAGCTTGATATAGTTCATCTATTACAGTATGAATTCATGGTAGCTGCGCAAGTAGAACATGAATTAATCTGTTCAGTACAAGATATATTTGTTACAAGGTTTACAATTGGTTACAATTGGATACAAGGTGTGTGTTGGTTTGGGTATATACTAAATAATAATATATGTTTATGGACAAGAATAGTTTGACAGTAGGATGTATTTTAGTTGTTTCAGAGAGCAGCTGGTAAATTCCGGAGCAAGTTCGTTCCATAACTTCGCTCCTTGGAATTTTATTGTGTTCGAGCCATAAGCTGTCATAACTCATAAAATGGTTTTGGCCTGCTGCGCTTCTTGTGTTATGGTCATGGATGTCCGATAGTTTAGTAAAGTAGGTGCTAAAATTACAGGGGTGGGCAAACTTTTCAAAGCGAGGGCCGCATCAGTGGGCCATGAAAAGTCGAAGGGCCGCACCTTTTAAAATCAGGCGGTGCGCTCTAAGATAATACGTGCGTTTTGCCACAAGGGCGCCATTTCTGGACCATAATTAGCACAGGATGTATTGATATACTTATAGGTATATAGATAGAGGATATACTTATCAGTAAATACAGGAACATTTTCACAACGGCAATGTTAAATTTGACAACGGCGGTGCGCCACTGTGTCTCCTATGTTTAAGAAACCCTGATATTAGTTATTTTAAATACCACAGAAAGTTGCAGTGTCTAAATTGGCTAGACAAGGAATTATATCCTGTAAATAGCATTTATACATGTGATTCGTACCCAAGTGTATAACTGAATGTTTGTTTAGCAGGTGTTAAAATGGGCAGAATCTTTCTCGATCACCTTGGTGGAACCCGACTTTTCTGCTGTGCCAGCTGTGAGACTGTGCTAACGAACCGATCTGAATTGATATCCACGAGGTTTACTGGAGCAACAGGCCGAGCATTTCTTTTCAAGAAAGTGGTGAATCTAAACTACAGGTGAGGAGTAAAGGTAGTCAAATGCAAGAAAAATGCTTGAAGAGACTGTACTGATCAATGTATGTCGATAATCCAGATACGTCCATGCTCCATTTGCACAATGATAGTTTTCCTCGATTTATGTCTGCACTCCGCTAGCCTTCTCAGGGCTTCTGTCGCCATTCCTGTTCACATCTGCCTCAACTGTGATTTTTCATGTATGTGTGTGAATGCGTGCGCGTATCATGTGTGTTCCTTTATGTATATATATGTATAATATTCTTTGAGATTTCTAGCCTTTGCTTAGTCTGACCCAATTCGTATATAGGTTTATCTGTAACATTGTTCATGATAATTCAAGATGGAAATCGTTTAATTTCACAAACTAGCACACGTGAATGCGCGAGTGCAGTGTAATGTAATAAACTTATAAGCACATGAGTGAACAATGTTTGCACTTTCATTGCAGTGATGTGCAGGACAGAGTAATGTTGACAGGCAGACACATGGTGCGCGACGTCTCGTGTAAGAACTGTGATGCCAAGCTTGGCTGGATCTATGAATTTGCGACTGAGGAGAGTCAGCGGTATAAGGAAGGTCGAGTGATTCTGGAACGTGCGCTTGTCATGGAAACAGATGGGTTTGAAGACCATGCATCATTAGATAGCCCAAACTAACCTGTAGGGTTTTCATTCTGCCACATAGTTACATAATTGCACATTGTTGTTAATATTTTTATATGTGACATGGGAATATCGTGAAAATGGGTTCATGGGTTCATTGTCAATTAATATGAATATATATATATATATATATATATATACATACGTATGTATGTATGTATGGATCTATGTATACATAGTTTGTGGTCATAGACTGGCATCCTTATCATGTCTGTGTGTTACCTTACCTGTTATATTGCAGTATATGAGGTTTGTTACATACTGCTGTATAGAATTCATTTTACATTGAGCATAAGCAGTCATATCTAGATTAGTTTGTTTCGAGTTGAATAAGAATTTGATTGGATTAGGTTTGCCCTCCACCTTTTGGAATTTTAATTGAAAAGATGTAGAGAATATTGTTTGTACATTATTACTATTTTTTAATTAAGGTAATGCACTTTCATTATTTATATTTTAGGACTTATTAAGGACATGCCCATATTAAAGGCATGATTAGCCAGCAAATACTGCTATAAACCTTGTACTATGTGTAAGTATAATTATTACTGTCTAATATGTATTCTTTCATCCAATGTCCCTGCACATTTAGTGACAGAACTCGGCTAAATGATCAAAAACAGTTAATCTAACGTGAGTGAACGTGGGTTATTATGTGAAATACAAGTTAATAATCAGGTGTTTTCTCGCACAGAATTCGATACTTGATCAATACTGTTGTCTATAGCTGATATGATCTTTCAATAGTTTGCTGAATATTTCTTTCATTTACAAACAAATCTTTTGATCACCATGAAGTTGCTAATAATAACATATAGGTGCTTAAAAAGGGTTGCTGGGAGTGGAGTATCTTCAGCATTATCACAGCAAACACCATGACGTATCCAGATAATTCATTATTCGGATACTAAGCTCAAATCATACGACTTCAGTGCAGGCAAAAATATAAAACATGGAAGTCTGTGGGCTACACGCTTAGGGTAAGGCTAGATCACGTGTTTTAAATGTGCAAAACAATGAGGGGTTTCCAATTAGCACAGGGCTATCAGATGATGCTATATGAATTTGAGGGTAATTTTATACTTTTATACTCTTAATTTGGTCTATTGCTGGTCAAATCTTTTCTCACAAATTCAAATATGTGCATATTCAGCCTTTAAATTCGTAAATAATTTCCCCGACTATTATATATTAGAATGACATTGTCATTAAGTATCAGGCACTCTCAAACCTAGCACCAACTGTTATCAATAGTTATAAATATTAATCATGAACTTTCTAAATCTGGATATTTGAAGTGTATCCAAAATGCTGTAATTGTTTAACAATTGGAAATCCATCGACGGTGTAAGCGTATTTTCTGATTGTAACCTGTCGTTCGTGCGTTTATGTTAGTTACAACTGTTGGCTTTTTCTGACGATTCTTGTACAGTATCACACTGAACGAGCTAACTAGCTAAAGCCTAGCGCAGACTTGCGACTTTTTCATGCAACTGCAACTCGTAGCGATTCTGGTCGCTTGCAACGAGTTGCAAGAAATCAAACAGGTTTGATTTTCAGCAACTCGTCACTCGCAATCGCTTCGAAATCGCATGTGTGCGGGTAATATAAGTCATGGAAAGACAATCGAAAGAAGCGACTGCTGCTTGCATGCGCACACACGGTGAAGCGTGCGACCGATCGCATGCGGTTGCAGGTTGCAGCGACGAGCAACCAAAAGTCGCAAGTCTGCGCTAGGCTTTAGTGTTAGGCATATATATTTAAAGGAACAGTAGCCTCTAGGTTCTAGGGTTATTTTCAGCTAATTTAGGTTATAATTGCGCTACATAAAAAGTTTCATGGTTCAATCACCATTAGAAATATTTTTTTTAAATGTTTTAAAACTAACGACTACAGTTTGATTACAACGACGGTGGCGCCACTCAAAGCGCACAATCTGAGAAGTTGCGCAAAACCACTTTCCAGCCAAGGGCTACAGACCGAGGGTATTTCTTATTTATTCATTTAAAAGCAAAAGGATTGTAATATCTTATAAACGACATATAGTTTCAGTTATAATATGGATAAATTTGCCCTAAAATGAATATCGTTCGGTTAAATAGCATTTAGGTATAAATATAATTGCACTTTTGTGATTAGCCCTCGGTCATTTACCTGCAAAATAAAAATGCAAATACGCAACTTTTTCAGGGTGGCAGCACGGTCGCGGGTGTCATGGCGCCGTTCAAATTTCGAAGCGTTGATGTGTAAATAATTAATTAAGTATCTGGTGACAAATACATGTAGGTATAGACGATTTGTTATACAGTAAGTACAGTTGTATGCAGTAAAATCCTAGAGGCTACTGTCCCTTTAACAAAGTGCAGTAGAGAAGGCTGTAATACTGTACTAATCTTTCATCAATCTTGTCAAGTTGGTGACATCAAAGATAAATATAACGTACATCAGACGATGTCACACGCACATGTATATGTACTTGCGTGATGTTCCTGTATTTACGTGTACGTGTCTTATTGCTTTCATGCACATGAATGCATACATACTGCCATCTGTAGTAATGTATCATGTATGAATACATGAATGCATACATACTTCTATCTGGAGTAATGTATCATGTATGAATACATGAATGAGAAATATATGTATTAGAAATTCATGTAATGCATTCTCTAATTCATATACTCCTGCTTCTACCACACCGTGGAATAGGAAAGAAGTACGTAGCTGCATGGACACGTGTCCTTGAATTTGTAATATATAACACTCAATCGGAGATCAGCAAGACGTGTAAAATACATTAAGGCATCGTTAACGTGCGTTGTCTCATCCACACCACATCACTCTAATTTTATTTCACCCGATTGCACTATATGGATGGACTCACTCAAAACACCAGCAAACACACATGATAGCATGCACCATGTACACCTATATAACTGAACATATTTACACAACATAAATGTAGAGCACACGTTGTATATTACATGCGATTGTAAGGATACTGTCAGTCGTACGGTAATGTGAACAGTGAACTGTTATGTGTGGTGCTACTATATTAGCTAGGATAAAGAAGTTCATCACATCAGCATAATAAAAATGGAACGTGTTACACCACCAAGGGCAATGAGGTTAATCTTATTCACCCTTGATATCACTTCTGCTTTAAGCAAAACCAAATAAGAAAAGTGTGTAAAAATTACAAAACGAAACACGATTTCAAAAATAACAATTCGTCAGGAAACTGATGATCTTCCTTTACACTATCTTTGCATACAAATAATGTCAATTTCCCAACACCTCTGATTCAGATTACAATAGACAAATAATACAATAAAGCTGCCCAAATATTTCACCACAATGGTGTGACAGAAAACAGGCATCTTGTTTACAACAAAAATTGTTCAAATCAATTTTGGCACCTACACGTCAAGTTGAAAAAAACGAAATAGTTGTCATTTAATCAACACACAAACAAGAAGAACACCGATGGCACCACTTCAGATTATGAATTCATCAGAAATATTATGGAAATATAACGCACGTGCATCTTGCCTATTCACAACACTGTTTACAATCACACCACAAAAACACACTTCAACTGAAATTTTACATGAATGACTGCAATCGCTCAATAATTAGCACAACCAGTAGCATTCAAACAACCTGCGCATGCGTGTCATAACACAAATTCGCATAAAGAAATATTAGCATATTTATATGCGATGATAAGGATGACATACAATAATTTCGTATAAAAATTACATGATGTAATGTTGCATAAAATTGAATCAAGCATGCACACACACACATATATATATATATATATATATATACAATGTACACATATATGTTCATAGTGGAATACATTTAGTCACGGTAACACGTTTACCACGAAATTCTTAGATTAAATCAGATAGATCTAATTTCACACAGACATAGAGTAAAGATACGAACAGTACATAAATTATGGAGGCCAAGAGAATCAATCACGCGAAAAATCTAGAAAAGAAATGGTTGTAGAAAAGCTTTACGATGAGATCATCCTTTCATGCTGCAGCTTTACACTAGTAACTTTACTTCAACAAACTGCCATACTAAACACATTCTGACATGTTATCAGCTGACGACTGCCAACAACAGTAAAGCATAGATTTGAAATAAATTATAAAACAAACGCGTGCTTTTCGTTCAAGTTAACAGTGCTGTAACAGTTTTGGTCCTGCTCTGCAGTTATACTGCAACGTTCCGTTCATTTCACAGACGAGTAAATAAATACATACATATAACTACAATGAATGGGGAATTTTTCTCATCTTTAAATTACGTCAGTCAAATATTTCACTAACACATATTTTTGTAATATATACGAGGACAAAATAAATACATTCTCTTTTAACATCCAGCGTACGTAAAAGTGGGAAAAAATGTCACACATAAGAAATCTCACGCACTAGCTGCCAATTATAATTATGCTATTTAAAACTGACACTTTCTTGTATTTGATTTGGTACTGCAAACAATCGTTCCCCACAATTATACCTCGGATTTAATCGCAACAATGATTAGTGTAAAACACATCAATCAAACATTTTACACCTTCAACTTGGTGCTTTAATGGCCCACACATTTGGTACTAACTGGGTAAATTCTTACGAGCCCTCGTGGCTCTAATATATAGATATTCTTACATATAGAGACAACAAATTGAGGAATGATGAGAATCACATACTAGCTATTTAATTACACAAACACAGACATGACACACATATATAATCTTACTTCTAACCGACACAGCAATGAGCAGAAGGAGCGACTACGACAAAACAGCGCATATATACGCGTACACAGTAAAGAAGCACTAGCATTCGCTAGTCCCACTTGTGCCCTGAAGCTTCAGCAGTATCTCCTTCACTCTCCGACCCTCATTCTCTGCGAGCAGCCCATCGAGGAAGCCCTCTTCCAGCTCCCAGCTGTCGCGGACTCTCCGGCTCTGACATCTCCCCTGCAGCTCCAGCAAGCGTTCGCAGACGGACTTGTGGTGGGACCGAGTGTCGAGGCAGCTCAGCGACTTGGAGCGCAGCATCCGCGAACTGTTCATCGCGCTGTCCAGGTTCCGCAGCCTCTCGCAGATCGACACGCACCCGACCTCCGACTCCCGCTGCTGGACGACAACGCTCTCCGCACGCTCGTAGCAGTCGCCGCGGCGACCGTGAAGCTCTCGCAGCTTGTCGGCGATGGCGGACGACAGTCGCCGCGGCGACAGCGCGCCGTCGGACTCCGAGAACGCGCGCGTGCGATCCTGCAGCAACTTCAGCTTCTCCGCGACGAGACCGGAGCGTCGCGCGCGCGGCGGCGACCCCGCCGCGTCGTCGTCGTCCCGCAACGCCACCGGCGCCCTCTTTCCCGTGATCGCCTTCTCCTGCAGCGACTTGAGCAGGTCGGAGATCATCTGAGACTGGCGCCGCTCCTGCAGGCGCGGCGACACGGGCCGGTACATCACCTGCCCGCGGCTGCCGAACATCTCGATGCGGCGCACTGTCTCCTT